GATATTCCATTCATACTAGATCACGGGGGATACATGTAGTTGGCGACAACTGCCCGTTTCTAGTTTAATATGAGGTATGACTATATTGCTTGCAATTAAGTATGCAAATCCCCTAGGTATTTCATGTAAAGCTAGATTTATTTTAAAAAAACTAACCAGTATTCATAAAGTTAATTTGACCTTCATCGGTTCACCGGAAGTTTTAATCAATGAACGATTTGCAATTAAAATGCTTAACGTGGTGGGGCTAATGACAAACCCTTGGGTGTTCACACTCACGCACGAACGTAAATCAATCCCACTCAAACACACATCTACATCGCTCGAGCAATTCTGGAATGGTCATTTATGCATGTACTCGTATTACAGCTGCAACATTGCAATAAAATTAGTCAAAAATTTTTTAAGTATACCATATTCAAGAATATAATAGCACCCCATACTACGTTCGGAAACGCATGCAGAACTGCGTATCTGACACGACAAACGTTTGGTTTATATACAGCACCACTGCCTCCGTCAGACTATATTCCATTAGTACATTGCATTAGATTGTGTATACATGACAGCCAGTCAATATCGGTATCGTTACGTATCTCCATCACTAATAAGTTAATAACACAATGAGACCTAGTTTCACCTACACAGAAAACAAGTGCAGTGTGCCGAGTTATGTTATAGAAATAATAGAATAATGCGTATAGCTGCCAATAATGATGGTCATGCAGTGATGGGTGGGGAAAACTGTAGCAACTGTCGGCTTTATGGAGGATGCCTGTTGTCACGTATGCTTCATCAATTATTCATCACTATTTTATGACTGAGAGGGAGGAGTGGAGAAGAAGTGATATATGAGCGGGAGAGAGAGGAAGAGAGAGAGAGGGAGCAAAGGGAAGAGGGAGGAGCGAGAGAGAGGAAGAGGGAGAGGGAGCAAAGGGAAGAGGGGGAAGGGGAGCGAGAGAGAGGAAGAGGAAGAGGGAGCAAAGGAAAGAGGGAGGAGCGAGATAGAGAGGAAGAGGGAGATGGAGCAAAGGAAAGAGGGAAAGTGAGAGAGGAGGAAGCCGGAAGAGGGAGCAAAGGGAAAAGAGAGGATAGAGAGAGAGGAAGAGTGAGATGGAGCAAAGGGAAGGAGGAGCGAGAGAGAGGAAGAGGGAGAGGGAGAAAAGGGAAGAGGAAGAAGTGAGAGAGAGGAAGAGGGAGAGGGAGCAAAGGGAAGAGGGATGAGTGAGAGAGAGAGAGAGAGGAAGACGGAGATGGAGCAAAAGGAAGAGAGGAGCGAGAGAGAGGAAGAGGGAGAGGGAGCAAAGGGAAGAGGGATGAGTGAGAGAGAGAGAGAGAGGAAGACGGAGATGGAGCAAAAGGAAGAGAGGAGCGAGAGAGAGGAAGAGGGAGAGGGAGCAAAGGGAAGAG